TGAAAAAAAAAAAATTAAAAAAAAAAAAAAAAAAAAAGAATGGACATCGTTAACTAGAGTTTAATTTTTTTTTTGAGGCAGAATTTATATACAGTGGAATATACAAATTTTAAATTTGAGTTTTGAGACATTCCTTTATAACCCAAACCCATGACAGTATATAGAACATTATCCTCACTGCAGAAAGTTCCCTCGTGTTCCTTGTTAGTTCATCCTCCACACCAACCCTCAGAGACTATTCCTGTTCTGATTTTTTTCCCCCATCAAAACTTTGTTTTGCCTTATATAAATGAAACCGTACAGTTTGTACTCTGAATGTTTTCACTTACGGATAACATTGTGAGGTTTATCCATGATGCTGGCTTATATCAGTACTTCATTCTTTTTTATTGCCGAATAGTATTTCATTGTATGGGTGTACCATATCATTCTCCTGGTGACATACAGAACTTAGAAACATAAGATAGAGCACTGACGTACTTTTATTTGGAAGGTAGCATTAATATGATTATGGTTGGGTTGAGGCCAACAGATAATGTGTAGGCATTGTACTAGTTCTGTCACAACAGACATTGAAATTTTTTTTATTGCTTTTAAAAACGTATAGGAGTGGTCCAGCTTCTTGCTCTAGTAGTAATTGTCTCCACAGAAGAAGAATCTTGTGACAAATTACATTTTTAGAAGAGGAGTAGAGAATTCTTTTCCCTTTTTCCCAGAAGAATTTTTTTTTTTTTCCTGTCTCTGAGCAGAACCATGGTCTTGGTGATATTCGTAACACTTTTTTTAAATGTTTTTATTTATTTATGCATTTTATTTATTTAGAGACAGAATGTGCAAGTGGGGAAGGGACAGAGAGAGAGAGAGAGGGAGAGAGAATCCTAAGCAGATTCCACACTATCGGTGCAGAGCCTAGTGCGCGGCTCAAACTCATGAACCATGAGATCATGACCTGAGCTGAAGTCAAGAGTTGGATGCTTAACCGACTGAGCCACTCAGAAGCCCTGGAACACTTTTTTTTTTTTAAGTATCGAAATAAACAGTTCATATACAAGGGGGAAATGATGGCAGTAAATGTAGTACATTTCTTATCCCTTAGGGTATTTTTCTTATGAAGATATTCATAAATTGAATACTTCATATATTTGTGCATTGGCTATTGTAAATGATGCTTCAGTGAACATCTTTGCATGGCCAGGTTTGCCTGTATCTCTGATTATTTCTTGTGAATAGATTTTTAAAAGTGTTCATGATATGTCAGAGGGTTATGGCCATTTAAGTTTCTTAACACACACATTGGTAAATCGCTTACCAAAAGGGTAAGCAGTGTACATTCTAACCAGTAATACATAGGAGTAGGCACGTGTCCTTGCCAATTCTTTATTTTATTTTATTTTTTGACGTTTATTTATTTTTGAGACAGAGACAGAGCATGAACGGGGGAGGGTCAGAGAGAGGGAGACACAGAATCCGAAACAGGCTCCAGGCTCTGAACTGTCAGCACAGAGCCCGACGCGGGGCTTGAACTCACGGACCGCGAGATCATGACCTGAGCCGAAGTTGGCCGCTTAACCGACTGAGCTACCCCAGCGCCCCTATTTTAAAGATAGAAATGAGATGACGGGGGAAAGCATGGTGTCTCTTGCATATACTTCTTTAGGAATGAGCTGAGTATTTTCAGAGGACATGGGTAAACTTGATTGTAAGTGTTAGCATTATGTTAGTTGTGACCCTTTAATTTTTCAACCTTGAGGTCAGGGTGGCCAATCAGGAGAGAAAATTGTGTGAAGTTCAGTCATGTATTTTACCACAGAGGTAACTAGGTATTTATGAGGGCTAGTTCTGAGTTTCTGCTCTGATTTTAAAACTTGGTTCTTTTTGTTTTCTTACCTAGCCTGAAGAAAATCCGTGGCAAAGTCTGGAAGCAGAGAATATCTAGCCCTCTGTTCAACACCAAACAATACACAATGGAACTAGAGCGGCTCTATCTACAGATGTGGGAGCATTATGCAGCTGGCAACAAACCTGATCACATGATTAAGCCTGTTGAAGTCACTGAGTCGGCCTAAATAAAGACTGTGTGAACAGGAGATTACCCCTGTACCTGAGCCTCAACTTTCCAGGGAAAGGGAACTAGAGAACGTGCTTTTTACTTACTGTACAGTATCATGTTGCAGATGGGTGACAAATGATCATAGAATAGCACAGCCAGACTTGCTTCCTGCATGATAGGGAGAGACACGAGATGGGAAACTGCTGTCCCACAAGGAATCTCCACAGAATTTTGCAGCAATCAGGTGGTGCGTAGGTCTGGAAGGTCTGCTCTCCTTTGGTCTTCCATGGGATGGTTAGTGTGGAGGGGAGATGGAGATTGTCCAGCCGTTTTGTGATTCCATGGATTGATCAAGTGTTCTGAATTAATTTTTTCTTTATATTTTGGGTATTGGAGCTTTTAAAAATGTTTGGTTTCAGGTATTTTTATTCACGTGAAGTGTATATGATTCTCTTGAGATAAGGTTTTAAGCTAAAATGTTGCCCCTTGTTTTAGTTTCTGAACTCTACAGATTAACGGGGACTTTGCTGGTGTAGTCTTTTTATAGGTTTTATAAACCACTTGAGCCTATATCAGTCATTTTAGTGTCTGACCTAATGTTTGGAACTATCAGTGCTTTGTTGGTTTAGATGATGACTTAAACATTTTGTTTTTCTGGTCCGTTTCCCATTTCCTTCTCTTCCCTTCCCCCACTTTAAAATTTCTCCTGTAACTCAGCTGACGAAACGAAGTCTGATTTTAAGCATCCCAGAGTGTTTCTCTTAAACACGTCATCTGGTGCCAAATGAAAATTCTTAGGAGTAATAATTATGCAGGGCGTAGTTGTGGTACTGCCATTGATGATGATGATGATGATGATGATGATATAGATTTTTTGGGCCTAGTTTTGACCTATTTCACCAGTGTTTTACCTTTGACTGCCCCTCTATGCTGCTTCCAAAAGTGATAGTGTGTGATAAGATTTTTACCTTCCTTTCTCAAGTTTGTTTTTTTAAGTGAGTCCTGTTCTTCCTATTTCTTTCAGCAGAAATGAAATCCCAGGTAAGTATAAGTATTCGCATATTTGATCAGTAAGTCACAGTTATCTTCAGTACATTGAATAATGTTCATCAGAAAACATAGGTAAAAAGCTGAAGGACCAGCTGTGTAAATGAGTAATTATTTTTCAGACCTTCTAGGGTATTATATAATAACTGTCTTCTGGACTTGAAGTCTGTACGGATCGGCCTCAGTGGTAGCAAACTGCACTGCTACTTGGTTTGGAGTACAAATTAGACTTTAGCCCTCCTGGAGCTTGAGTTCTTGGTATTAAAAACCATAGGAATAAAATTATTGAATTTCAGCAAAGGATCGAGGGCTTGAGGCTTAAGCCAACATATGAATATATGTTTTGTGTTGCTGTACTGTACTTATGCTATCCAGTAACAGATAATTTTTGTCTGCTAGTAGTGTTCTAGATTATGTCTTTCCAAAGCGCTGAGGCAGTGCACCTATTCTGTAGTTGCAGCTGATGCCTGAATGTATCCTAGTCGACAAATTATTGATTAATAAGAACTTGAATTTCTGAAAGATTCTTACTGTTAACCAAAATCTGAGCAAGGAGTCTCCGATGTAATTCTTGCCAGAATTACATGGTAATGAACTGTGTGTACCTTCTAACAATGTAAATCAAGAAACATCAGTTTAGGGATTTAATTTATTTTTTACCCGATTGAACTGTCAGTTAAAGGTTGCCAGCATGATTGCAGATAAACTGATGTTTGAAATTCACCAAACTACTTCATGTGGAATAGGATAATATACTTCCAGTGCCCTCAAGGCTGTGGCCTTACAGCCATTTTACATAGCACATCATTCCTCCTATAGGGATGAACTTTTTCCTGGCACGAAAAGTAGCCGCTCTGGTTGAAGCTTTGCTTATTGTAATAGGCTTTTGTTTCCAGGTAACATGTCTGTGGAAGACCTAATTCTGAATAGAGATATAGATATTATTGGAAACTAATTGTTTTTTCTATTATACTCCGCTTTATCAAAAAAGTAAACATTTAAATTGTGCTACAGAAATCCAGATGTTGTCTTGCGATCCTTAAACAATAAATGAATGATTTGCCCTTACTGTGGCTGATGTATTTTGTGTTCTGTTAAATTGAGCGTTGGACAGAATAATTGGGTCATCCAGTGATGAAGCTTACATGTGAACAGCTGCAAACAACAAAAGGACCAGATTTCCCTAGTGTAGCTGCAATATTAAGAGTTTTCTCAGGTGTCGTAGAGGGGGTGGGGTTGGTTTATGACCCGTTACAATGAGGACAGAGCCTGTAACTCCCAGCACACCCATTCATGTTTTTGTTGTTGTTGTTTTGCTTACGACTGTTCTGGCTTCATCTGTCGCTGTAGTCTTACTCTTTGTGTGGGCCATTCATTCATGCTCGGTATTTGAACTCAGCCACAGGTATGAGGGAGGATATCGGTGCATCAGGGACCAAAGCAGGCTGTTTAGCTGCCCATTTTCTCAGAGATAATAAATGGGGAAATTTTTTTCAATAAAATTTCAGGGGCACCTGGCTGGCTCAGTTGGTAGAGCATGTGACTCTTGATCTTGGGGTCGTGCATTCAAGCCTCAGGTTGGGCATAGTGTTTACATTAAAAATGAATAAATTTCAGCTGATTTATGCCACCCCCCCCTTTTCTGTGGGTTGTGACTCTCAAAGCCCTAAATGGTCTGGTGTGTGTTTCCTAAGAGGTGGTGGGGGCAGAAAGGTGTCCAGTAGCCTACTCATAAACATTCTTACCCCTACCTTCTGTATGTTTTGAATCTGCCCGGGTTATTTTCAGTCTACTTTAGTTTCTCCTGCCTTCAGTCTAAAGGAGTTGTGTGTCCTGAATGAGCTTGTGTAACATGATTCGATTCCAGTCCTAACCCACTTTTTACTTGAAGCACGTGCCTCTTCATAGTAACTACAGCTAGCATTCTGGTTCTTTGCCCAAACTTCTAAGGGACACATTTATGTAGCCCCCATTTTTTTTTTATAGACGAGGCTTGTAGAGGTAAACTTGCAAGTTTGTTGTAGAGGTAGGGTTCTAATGATAAACCCCTTGTCACTTGTTCCCCATCCATTCAGAATACCTTTATACATGTAGGCAGTTTAGTGCTTAAGAGTTTGGATTTTGGAACCAGGGCTGCTGGAGTTTGAATCCCAGGTCTGCCACTCTCTAGCCAGGGGATCCCTGTAAAAGGAGTGCTGACACTGCCTATTTTTAAGGTGTCTTAAGCATTAAACCCATATAGAACACTTGGAACAGTGCCCAGCATGAAATCAATATTAATATAATATTCATATCTTTAAACGCAAGGAGGTTTTATTTGTATTCTGCTGGTTAAATGCTTAAATTCTGAAATGTATGGGTGTCCGCCAGAGAAATGGGCACCATCCAGAAAGCGTTTACTTGCCCAGTTTGTTTTTCTCGGTGTGTTTGGAGCAAGTGCCAAAAAGCCTGAAGTAACCAACCCCTCTATCTTCAGGGTTTGGAGGGTTCTGGAAACAAACGTCACCGTCCGGTGTTGCCAGGCACTGTTGGATTAATGCCTTGCTCTTATCTAGGGGTCTAGGTGGCCTTCCCCCGTTTCCTCCTAGCTCAGAGTAGTTTGGAGGGTGGGCAAACAGGCTTAGAGGTTTGGGCGATGCAAGCAAGGAGCTGGGGCTTGCTTATCCAAGTTCTCACAGATGAAACTTCTGTGGGAATATTCAGCCCAGTTATCCCGGGTCACCCAAAAAGCTCATTTTAGGGATCGGCAAACTACAGAAACGGGCTCCGGGACCTGAACTCTGCACGAAATGGCACTTTCACGACAAAACAAGTGGCACCCGTGGAAGTCATAGACCTGACTCCGGAAGCACTACCTCTGGGCGCCAAATTTGAGTTCATAGCCACGAAGTTCAAATTTGCCACGTGACTGCACTGTGATAGGTGGATGCAGGGAGGAGCTCAACACGTCAGTTTCCCACTTCCCGCGGAGCGTGCCTGAGCCTATAAAAAGTCTTGCGCCTGGCTTCTCAGTTGCTGCGGAGTTCCCACGCCATCCACTACTAGTTGGAGGTGAGCAACAGTCAGCTTCACCAGAGGCGGCTGTAGCAGGTAGGTGGCTTGGTGGGGCTGAGAGGTGGGTACTGAAGCGGGAACGATCTAGAAGCTCATCCTAGCTGAGGAGAGCTTAATTAAAACCAGGACCGCCATATGCCCTGGACACTGTCCATGAACCTTGGGACTGAGATTAGGGCAAAATATGTTGTCTGTTTCCACTTTTAAAAAAGGCTTTTGGAAGAAGCGATTTTAAGCCTTGTTATACTGTGCTAAAGCGAAGATGAGGAACGGGGGGCCTGAGGGATCCCAGTGGGGGCCCGAGGGAGAAGTGGCTTGGGGGAGGTGGCCTGCGATTGTACAGGGGAACAATTGTTGCAGAGGAGCGCCTAGGCCTGAGAATGGTTGGCTGGGTGAGACTGGGGTGTGGTGGTGGGGGAGGTGGCGTGCTGGTTAGGGCATCGGGGCATTCGATGCCTGATCAGGGAAGGCAGGCTGAGGTCAGAGCAGGGGGTAGAAATGGGGGCAAATGGAGGGTGGGTAGGAGTGTGTGTGTGGGGAGGGTCAATGCCTGATCTGCTAGCTGCGGCGAGTGGGGTGTAAGGGAGATTTTGAGGCCCAGTTGGTGTAAGACCTGGGGACAGGAGGGGCTGGAGGCGCGGGTGAGTGGAGGTTTTGAGGCTTGAATGGTGCAAGCCTGGCTGGGTGTGGAAGGGGAAGGGGTCTGAGCCTGTAAGACCTGGGAGTAAGGTGTCGAGGACTGGTTGGTGCAAGACTGGCAGTAGCGGGGAGGGGTCCGGGCTTTTTGCTGCAAAACCTGGGGCTGGGGGGAGGGCGGATGAGTGGAGGCCTTGATGCCTGATTGGTGCAAGATTGGCGGGGG